GACATCAAATCAGCCTTCAAATCCTCATTTTATATTTTTAAATTTTTTTACAAAAATTCTCATTTTCTCCAATTCAAATCACCAATTTAATGATAAAAACAAAGATGAAATCATGAAATATAATCAAATCCGGGTAAAGAACACTTACCCCCAATCCAAAGTGTAAAAATCCCATCCAAATTTGCCCAAATCCGAGCTCTCTAACCCAAAAAGTAATAAAATATCAAAAGTCCTCGAAATAGAGTACTTTATATTCTGCCCAGACATTTGTACATCGCGATCGCGAAGAAGAAACAACACTTCCCAAAAATGTACTATGTGATCATGTAAACAACACTGCAATTACGAAGGCCAGCGAACCAAACAAGCGCGAACACACAACACCTACCGCGAACGCGTAAGCCAATGAGTATGCCTCCTTCCACAGCACTACGCGATCACGATCTTGTCACGTCCTAAGCCTGGGGAGGTGTGGATGGCACCTGGTACCGTACTGGCCTAAGCGAACCACTCTATAACTTTTTTTTCTTCTGTAACTATCATGGTCCAACATGGCCACAACTAATAATGTATAACTATAAGTGGGCAAACACTGTATTAATGAATCATTGTTCTTAAAACATGATTACATATGTGCCGTCAAGGCCTCTGACATACTGTACATAATGAACCTGTATGTCTACAAAGCTTCTAAGATTATTTGACATTAATGGGATAGGGTACCAGCCTACCCATAAGTCTATAGCAAAACTCTGACACGATGACTCATAGACTCTGCTGCACTCCGAATGAGGTGGAGTCTTACTGATCCTTCGCTGAATGCTAACCTCGTCTACTATGAGGGCTCGTCAAACTGATTATCTATACCTGTAGGCATGAATGCAGTGTCCCCAATAAAAGGACGTCAGTACGAATAATGTACCGAGTATGTAAGGCATATAAATCAATATATAAAGGACATGGAAGAAACATGGAGTAAAGGACTCAACCTGTAAGTCTGGATAGCATTGAAATCATAAAATATTTATAAAATCATGCATATGTATATAAATATCATGTAATGCATAGGTCTATACGTACATAACATCACCAAGCCTCTGAGGGCTTTCCATCATATCATTTCAGCCACTATGGGCAATATCATCATTGTATACCAGCTGATCAGGCGGTGGTGCGTATATAATGACGTAACCTGTTAGTTTGTATGAGTCCACCAAACTGTAGAGTACATGGTCCTATATGAGGTTATTCTGAGAATGATAATAACAACTGTAAGTAAATGAGACACATGATTTTTACATGAAAAAATCCCAACTCAAGGGGACAAAAACCACGACCTACACCTGTAGGCTTTCAACTTCACCAACTTGTAAACACCTATTACAAGCCACTTTGTAATACCTCTATTACAAAGAATTCAACTCAACTAACTTGTGGTACTCTGACCACAAGCCACTTTGTCACTCTTTAGTTACAAAGACTTTAACTAACTTGTGATACTCTCACCACAAGCCACTTTGTCTTTTTCTAGTTACAAAGACTTTAACTTATGACTAAACCTAGTCACAACATAAACTCAGAGAGTTTACGAATTTTACAAGAGGGTTCCTAATCAACACTTCTGGCTAAGCAATTTAGAGATACATTAAGAACAATTACAAAGTTACAACTCAACTAAGGACAACAAAATACTCACTTTGGGAACTGGTCCGTAGTAACGTTTAACTTTGTGCTTCAAGCTCGTAAAAATTAACTTCTCTATTTTGCAAAAGGCTTGAATAAGAAACATGAATTTTCAAGTGATGTTTTGATATAAACTCATTGTTGGTACACCTTGATGACATCACTTGAAATGATGTAAGAACTTCAGTTGGTCAAGAAATAAGTGGGCACTGAAACAGTGCAGTGCAGGCAGAAACAGTGCAGGCGGTCACATCGCTTCCAATTGTGTCCAATTGACTTTGTAATGCTATGAGGGAACCACAAGGGTATCGGGCCCTTGTTTTGTTTCCTATCTCTTGAGTTTATAATAGTTCACATTTAGCTGGAATCCGTTAACTTGCAGTATAGTCCAAGTGTGTCAGGTGCCCTATCTTGTTCTTGACACAGTTTGTTAGATCATCAAAACATAAGTCAAAGATATCAAAAACCTATCAATTTTCCCTTTTTGATGATGAAAAACTTAAACAGATAACGTGTATTTAGATCAAGAAGAACCAGATAAAGTAACATGAACTCATAAGTGTTCCCCCTGACTTTATGCCTTCCTCTTTTTTTTAATAACATGTTTCCTTTTGGATGATCATATATTTCCCTTTTTGGCATCATTAAAAAGATACAAGTAGATAAAAAACATAAAGAAATCTAGGCGAGCTAACTCATGCCACATATGTGCACAAAACATGATAGAGAAAAGAGGCATAAAATACAAGCAATGAGATAATAAAAGAGGATAGATTTTATATAAATAGAAAATATTATATGCCTTTGCTTAAAAAGCAAAGGCAACATTGGACTGTTAAGACGGGAGCAGTACTGTTTCATCCCAACCACATCAAAAAAAGAAAACAAAACATCTGCCAATCAAAACAACAAAAAAAAACTTAAAGCAAATTTCTAGAAACTGGTCACTGAAGGGGGACTTAGGGGGCAATAGAGTAGAGGGCTTGGAGGCTACAACAAGTGTTTGGAGAACAAGGTCTATTCGGGCATTAGCTGACTTTTGCTCATTGAGCAGTTCTACTTTCAGGTTCTCTACTTGCGCCCTAAGATCAGCATTCTCTTTTGTCAAACGAACTACTTCATCATTTGACACCGGAAGCCCTTGGGCTTGCTGACCTTCCAGGATAGCATTCCTAGCCTTCAACCGACGAATCTCCTCAGTTGCACTATTTTGCGCATTAATGAGTTGTAAGATGGTTGATGTACTTCCTACCCCCATTATTTTTTATGCACTCACATTCTTGCAATGTTGTATGTGAGAAGGTCTACTTCTTAGTCCCCAACTTGCTTTGCCCCAGAGGCACCTCAAAAAACTAGAACACTCGCGTAAGCAAAAATCCGTAGGGAAGGCCATGATTACCATCTTTGAAGGTGGCTACCTTTTGCATATGTTCAATCGTAATAGCAGGTAGGCTTATAGGAGTAAAGCTATCCAGTTGCTCCATCAAGAACAGGTCAGACTTAGAAGTCACGGACCTCCTCTCAGCATGAGGCAATAGAACTTTGTTGACCAATTCAAAAAGCGGCTGATAGACAGGGAGTAACACCTTCTTATGGATCTGGTCCCCCTTTTGGTTTGCATTGACTTTTACCATGACATTTCTGAAGTTAAACTGAAACACATCCTTTACACTGGACACACCAAATGTAGGAACCTTAAGAATTTCTCCAAGCAACTTTACATCGAACACTATATCTACTCCATTCACCAAAGCACAGATGTGGTCGGTCTCAATGGGAAAAAGGCTAGCAAAGAAGCTTTGTACCTCATCCTCATATGCCTTGGGTGCATCTATTTGGAATAGATGCCCTCATCGTTGAAACTCAACCATTTCAAGAATTTGTCGCATACCAGCCATCTCATAGATTGCTGGGTCAAACGTGCAACCCAACAGAACCTTTTGGTGCTTCAGGCATTCTTAACCAAGGCTGACTTCACTTCTCATCCTCTTCATAGAACCAAGTTCCTGAACACTTTCAGACTTTCGTTTGCCGGATTTCCCACCACTTGATTTCTCTTTTCCCTTGGATTTGAATAACACATACTCATCAGACATCTAGAACTAACTCATAACATTCTTTATCTTGGGGTAAGAGGTTGAAAGGGATCGCCTTATCACTTACAGGCACACTATCTTTCACCAGCTTCCTCTTTTGTTTCTTACTACTTTTTCTACTCTTTTGAAGGGTAGAGTCGTAGGCCATCTTAGCTTGAAACCTGGTAGTAGGTCATTTGGTGGAAGACTCAATAGTGGAATGATAGATCTTAAATACTCTTACCTTATGTTTTGATGATATAACAAACTTACTGATAAGAACCAGATAGGGAACCTGACCTATTTGGATTGCTGCAAACTGGAACGGATCCTAGCTAAGGATGAACTGCTACAAATTCAGGAGCTAGGAACCAAACAAGGACTTGATACTCCTGTGGTTCCTATGTAGCAGTACATAGTCATTTGGACACAGCTAGAACTGAAGTGACTGATGATACTGTTTCTGCCGCACTGCAATATATAGTCAGCCCACTGATTCTCTAACCAAACAAAATACTCACATCACTTCAAGTGTTGTGATCAAAATGTACCATATGAAGACTTATACAAAGACATCACTGGAAGGTTTTCGTTTCTCATTCAAGCCTTTTGCAAAAACACAAAAATCATCCTCTAAAGCTTGAAGAACAAGGTTGAACGCCACTACGGACCAGTTCCTAAAAGATTGATTGTTGTTGTCTTAGTTGAGTTGTAACCTTGTTATTGTACTTACTATATCTCCTAAATCGCTTACTTAGAAGCATACTAATTAGGAATCCTCTTGTAAATCCTTAAACTCGTTGAGTTTAGGTTGTGACTAGATTTAGTCATAAAAAGTCTTTGTAATTGTAGAATTACAAAGTGGCTTGTGGTGATAGCACCACAAGTTAGAAAAAACCTTTGTAACTAGGATAGTCACAAAGTGGCTTGTGGTAAATGTAACACAAGATAGTTGAGTAAATCCTTTGCAATAGGAAGTATTGTAAAGTGGTTTGTAATAGGTAAAATTACAAGTTAGTAAAGTTAAAATCTGACAAGTATAGGTAATGGTTTTTTTGATCCCCTTGTGCGGGATATTTCCACGTAAAAATCCTCTGCCTCATTTACTTACTGCTTTACTAAGTGCTCTCAGCAGAAACTTGTAGAGGACCAGGTACTCTACGATTTGGTGGATCCATATAAGCTAACAATTGGTATCAGAGCAGGTTCCTCCTGTCATGTTAATACCTAAGAAGGATTCTCATGACGGCTCCACTAAATCTTGAAGAAGGTCAATCCATATACCACCCACCCAAGTTTGATGGAAAATGCTATTGGTGGTGGAAAGCGAGAATGCATGATTTCATCATGGCTGAGGATTGCGAGCTTTGGGATGTTATCTGCGATGGTCCATTTGTTATAATTAAGGTACTAAATGAATTTCCATTTTCAATAAAAAAGACCAGCGGAGAATACGCTGAAGAAGACAAGAAAGCAATGGAGAAGAATTTTCATGCCACGAAAATTCTGGTATATGGTTTGGAACCTAAAGAGTACGATAGAGTATCTACACGCAACACTGCCAAGGAAATATGGGAGGCTTTGCAAAAAGCCTATGAGGGAACTACACAAGTAAAGCAAGATAAATCTAATACTGATGATAGTTCTACGATGGCAGTTGAAGGCGAGGAGATTGGATATGACTCAACACTTGCTCTGATGGCTCAATCAGACAATGACGAAGACAATGACAACAAAGAGGTAAACTTCAGGGATGTTCAGAAAAATCTGAAATCCTATTCTCCAAAAAAACTCATGTGTTTAGCTGATGTTTTAATTAGTGCCTTTTGTAGTCTTGCGGTGGATATGGATTCCTTGTTCTTAGAACTAGAAGAATTTGAACATATTAGAAAAGACTTAGTGGCTGCAATTACTGATTAAAAGAAGGCCATTGAAATTCTTAGAAAAGAAAAGACTGATCTCTTGGCAGAAACTGCTGACCACAGGGAACTAATAGCAAAGCCCTTGACTGAGTCAAAACCTGAAAGCTCTGAAAGAGGAAAGGAGATAGTAAGTGAAGAATATTCTAGGCTTGAAGATGAGGTGAAGGCCTTGAGATGTAGGATGGGTGCTGAAATTGAGAAAAACGAGCTCCTCCAAACCAATCTAGAAAAAGTAATGAATGATCTTGAAAAGTCTCTAAAGTGGACCTGGTCCGTAGAGTCTACCACTACCTTGCTCACTAATAACAGTGAAAAAGGGCGGAGAGTAGGGTTTCCACGGAAGAAATATCCTTACAACCCTCACAGTAAGAGCGCCACTACATCTGACAGCTGGCCTTGTACCCAATGTGGGAACACTGGGCACTCCAAGGAAGGTGTCCAGGCTAAGAATCAATCAGTCCCAAAAGATAAAGTGGCTACAAAAACTGTGATCACAAAAGAGGAACCAAGTTCCACTCATAGAAAAATGCACATTACCTGCTTGGACTAAGAAAGCTCTTATTCATCCTCTTGGTTACTACAAGGGACCCAAACGTGTTTGGGTTCCTAAAACTAACTCCTAATTTCTTGTGCAGGGAATAGTGAAGGGAAGTGATCAAAAATGGTTCATGGATAGTGGATGTTCGAAACACATGACTGAGAACACCACAAACGTTCTTTCACTAAAAGCCCTGCAAGGAGGGAGTGTATCCTTTGGCAATGGCAAAAAGGGGTACATTTTTGGGGTTGGAAAAATTGGGAAGTCACTCACTCACTCTATTGAAAATGTGTACTATGTCAATGGACTTAAGTACAGTATCCAGAGTGCCTCCCAAATTTGCAATAAGGGAAACAAAGTAAAGTTCTTGTCCAAAATATGTACAATCACTGACCTTGTGACTGGTGAAATAGTCCTGGTGGCCAAAAGATACAAGAACATCTATGTTGTTGATTTCGAATCCTTACAGAGTGGTAATCTGAGTTGTCTGAAGGCTGTTGACGATGATGCTGAACTATGACACAGAAGTCTGGGCCATGCAAGCTTCTCCCTTCTGAACAAACTAATTCAGAAGGACCTTGTCCATGGTTTGCCTATGTCACAATTCAAAACTCAAAAGGTCTGTGATGCCTGTTCTAGAGGAAAACATGTGAAGTCCTCTTTTAAGTCAAAAAGATATGTGAGCACCTCAAAACCGCTTGAGCTCCTGTATATGGATCTTTGTGGACCTATGAGGGTGCAAAGTAGAGGAGGAAAGAGATACATTTTCGTGATCGTGGATGACTATTCCAGATTTACATGGACTTTGTTTCTCAAAACAAAAGATGAAACGGTTGAAGTATTTGTGGCCTTTGTGAAGAAAATCCAGGTGCAGATGGAGTCTAGAGTTGTATACATTAGATCAGATCATGGGACAGAATTTAACAATGTCAACTTTGATGGTTTCTGCAATGAAAATGGCATCTCCCACAACTTCTCAGCTCCCAGAACTCCACAACAAAATGGAGTAGTAGAAAATAGAATAGAACTCTGGAAGAAATGGCAAGAACAATGCTGATTGACAGTGGACTTGCAAAGAACTTTTGGGCTGAAGCTGTCAACACTGCCTGCTACTTAGTGAACAGGTGCATGATCAGATCAATTCTGAACAAAACCCCGTATGAATTGCTGAATGGAAGAAAACCAAACTGACTTACCTAAGAACATTTGGATGCAAATGCTATGTTCTCAACAATGGAAAAGATCAACTTGGTAAGTTCGATGCCAAAAGTGACGAAGGGATATTTCTTGGCTACTCTTCTCAAAGTAAGGCTTACAAGATATATAACAAGAGAACTCAATGTGTTGAAAAAAGCATCCGTGTTATTTTTGATGAATCTCATCCATCATTTGAGAAGAATACTGAGGAAGATCAAGATGGAGAACCCTTGCTTGTTCGTGGTGAAGTCATTAACATGACAAACGAAAAAACATATATGATGAGTCAAGTGAAGGAGGCAAATGAGGACAATGATGCCTCATCATCAACAGAACCAAGCACTTCAATTACAACCACTGAAGCTGAAGAAAGAGTGGTTGATACAGTTCAGGGAACTCCACTGGCATCTGAGAGAAGGATAGAGGAAAATCAGCCAAACATACCTTCTTCTTCTCAGAATGAATCCCAGATATCTAACTAGAGACATCAAAGTTCTCACCCCATAGACAACATAATCACTCCTCTAGATTCCGGAGTCCAAACCAGGTCAAGAGCTAGGAATTCACTTGCCTTCTCAGCCTTTCTCTCCTAGATAGAACCCAAGAACATCAAGGAAGCCTTAAAAGATGCAGATTCGATTACAACCATGCAAGACGAGCTGCATCAGTTTGAGAGAAATAGTGTTTGGCACCTGGTACCCAGACCCCCAGATAGAACCATTATAGGAACCAGGTGGGTATTCAGAAAGAAGCTCGATGAGCATGGAATTACCACAAGGAATAAGGCCAAGCTAGTGGTTCAAGGTTACAATCAGGAGGAAGGGATTGACTATGATGAAACTTCTGCTCCAGTGGCTCGCATGGAATCCATCAGAATTCTGATCGCCTTTGCTTCTCATATGGAATTCACTTTGTTCCAAATGGATGTCAAAAGTGCATTCTTGAATGGAATACTTAAGGAAGAAGTCTATGTGAAGCAACCCCCTGGGTTTGAATGTCATGAGCACCCTAAATATATGTCCAAATTGGACAAAGCCTTGTATGGTCTAAAGCAGGCTCCTCGAGCATGGTATGAAAGATTGTCAAAATTTCTCTTAGAAAATGGCTTTAAGAGAAGGAAAATTGACAACACTCTTTTCTTAAAGAAACGAGGAAGGAACCTGCTCATTGTTCAGGTCTATGTTGACGATATCATTTTTGGAGCAACAGCTGACTCTGTGTGTGAAGAATTTGCACAACTTATGGGAAGTGAATTTGAAATGAGCATGATAGGGGAATTAAACTTCTTCTTGGATCTTCAAGTAAAATAGTCCCCAAAGGGTACTTCCATCTGTCAGCAAAAATACATCAGGGAACTCTTGAAGAGGTTCGACATGGAAGCATCAAAGGTGATAGACACTCCCATTGCAACTGCCACTCGACTGGACATGGATGAAACCGGATCTCCTGTGAATCAAACAATGTATAGAGGCATCATTGGGTCTCTTCTTTATCTCACTACCAGTCGACCTGATATTGTTTTCAGCGTAGGGCTGTGTGCGAGGTTTCAATCAAATCCCAAGGAATCTCACTTGAAGGCTGCCAAAAGAATACTAAGATATCTCAAAGGCACGCAGGACCTGGTGCTATACTATCCATCAGGTGATAATTTTAATCTAATTGGGTATGCTGATGCAGACTATGCAAATTATCTTGTGGATAGAAAAAGCACTTCTGGGATGACTCACTTCTTAGGATCATGTCTTATCTCTTGGGGTACAAGGAGGCAAAATTCAGTGGCTCTTTCAACAGCTGAAGCTGAATATGTAGCTGCAGCATCTTGCTGTGCTCAGCTTCTATGGATCAAGCAGTAGCTGGAGGATTTTGGAGTTCTCACTGAGAGTGTGACCCTCCTATGTGACAACACTAGTGCACTCAACATGGCAAAAAATCTAGTTTAACATAAAAGGACCAAACATATTGATGTGAGACATCATTTTCTAAGAGATAATATGGAGAAAGGGTTGATATGCATGAAGTTCTGCAACACCGAAGATCAAATTGCAGACATTTTTACCAAGTCACTAAGAAATAGAGTAAAGTTTGGACTGTTGAGGCCAAATTAAGAACCTGATTCCTTTTTGAGTTGGCTCGAGTTATTAAGAAATAATAGGTTCAAAGTGTTTTCTGGCCCTGTCTAACTCACTTCAGTGCTGTTGCAGGTAAACACGCATGATGAGAATAGAAGCAGTAGATGCAGTACATGACTGATAAAAGAGGATTAATCCTTTTCAAAAAAGGGGGCTTGAAGAAAATGTTTTTCAAAGAACCAGGTTCTCTTAATAAAGGTTAGTATTTCTGTACATCCTTTAATACATGTCTTAAAAGGCACAAATACAACTGCCATGTCATCAACTTTTCAGATCCGGATGTCACGTCCTTTCAATTCAAAACGTTCCATCTCCCTCTGAAATGTCACAATTCTCCATGCCCAACCGCCGTTTCAGAATCGATGCCTATTCTTCTCCCTTCATAATTATCCTCTCCATTTTAAAAACCCCTCTCTTATGCCCTTCCTAACCATAAGCCCTATTCTAGATTCACCTAAAAGGAAGGATCATCACACCACCTCTTCCAATGGCTGAGAAAACTTCCGACCCATCCATGGAACCTCACTCCTTCACTGAGTCCGTGTCACCCTCTATCACTCCTACTACTACAATCACACCTTCCCTAGTTTCCCAACCTCTTCCCAACTCAGAAACCCCTGAAACTACTGTTCGGTCCTCTTCGTCGTCTGCTGCCCATACCAATCAAACCCTAAATGGAAAACAAGGTGAAAATACTAACTTCACAAAAGGCTCCTCCATCGTTGCCATCGACTCCATAGTTGTGGAAGCACCTGTTAAAGAAAAAAAGACTGTGTTTGTCGTATCCGCGAATGGAATATTTCATGAAGTTATTTCTCATAGAAAAGAGTCACAAAGCGTGTGGGTAGAAGGGGCCCTTCTGGTTGTTGAAGGGGATGCAACAGTATACACTATTGGGGTATCACATGAGGAACCTGATCCCTCTCCGGAGGACCCAGGTCATGACTCTCATCCCCAACATAGTGTTGTACCTGTAGTCGATGTTGTACCCCTGGAACTTCAAGCACCAGAAATGCGATCTAGTAATGAAGAAGACCTGTACAACGTGGCCCTAGATGCATTCATAAGTAAGTGCAAGGTTGTCACCACCCCTGAGTCTAAAAGTAAGCGACCTACTACCAGGCTTCAAGTCAAAGTATCCTATGATTCTGCACTCCAAAAGAGCAAGAAAAGTAGTAAGAAGAAAAGGAGAAATTTGGTAAAGAATGGTGTCCCTGTGAGTGATGAAGCTATCCCTATAGTTGTGGTGGAGGAAGGAACTCTTGAGGAACCTGGTTCCCTTGTAAGGCGATCCTCGAAAAAGGCTGAGTCTGTTTCCATGGAAAAATGATCTACTTCCAAGTCCAAGACAAAGGAGGGAGTGAGTGGTGAAGATATTCTTGTCAAGTCCAAGGGGAAAGCTAAAGTTAGTGGAGAAAAGCATAGGAAATGCAAGTTTGAAACAGTTGAAGAACCCAGTTCTCGGAAGAAAGCCAGAAGTGGCGTCTGCCTTGGCTCTGAGCGACTAAGGCATCAAAAGGATTTTCTGGGTCGTATGTTTGACCCAACAATATCTGAGATGGCAGGAATGTGTCAGCTTCTAGAAATGGTGGAGTTTCAGCAATGGACGCATCTATTCTACATTGACGCTCCTAAAGTGTATGAGGAGGAGGTCAAGAGTTTTTTCGCCAGTCTCTTTCCAGTTGATGCTGACCATGTGTGTGCCTTAGTCAATGGGGTGGATATTGTCTTTGACGTGAAATTGCTTTGGAAAATTCTACAGGTTCCTACAGTTGGGGTGTCTAGTGTACGAGATGTCTGTTAATACAACTTCCGCAATGCAGTCGTGAAAGATAACTCTAATCAGAAGGGGGACCAGGTCCATAAGAAAGCACTACTTCCTATCTACCAGTTGTTGTTTGAGCTGGTTAACAAAGTTCTGTTGCCTCGAGCAGAAAGTCAATCTGTCACTTCCAAATCTGATCTATTCTTAATGGAGCAATTAGACAGTTTCAACCCTGTGAGTTTTCCTGCCATAATGATTGAGCACATGCAGAAAGTGGCTGATTTCAAGGATGGCAATCATGGGCTTCCTATGGATTCTTGCTCACGCAAGTATTCAAATACTTTGAGGTTCCACTGGGAACAGGTAAAGTAGGGACCCGTAAGCAGACATTCTCACGACAACCTTGGAAGAGTGCGAATGTATTGAGAA